ATTTTAAAAATTTACTATTCGGGCAGAACTTGAACCGTCATCCTCTTTGTTCATTCGTATTCTCCTAGGATCATAAAAGCATGAGAAAGTCACAGGTCCGAATCCCGGAAAAACTATAAATAAAAAAGTACTTGCGTATAATTAAAATTGATTACTTAAACAGACACAAAACTGTGTTTATCGTGCCCCACAGAGAAAACAGAATCACGCTTTTCTTGTTTTAATAAAATATGTTAAATCCTTTTTTTTTTTTTTTTTGATTGGACTCTTACGTATTGTGTTCCTAAGGAGCCACGAATACTAACCGGGCGTTTTGGGGGAGCGCGATAGCGCTCGCAGTGTTTGCGGCTAGACCGAGGGTGCCCCGAGGGGGGCATCGGCCTCGGCTTGGACCGCCGCAATGCGGGTGGGAGCTAGAAGAGCTGGACGGAAGCTCACCCGGGTGAGCGGTACGCGAAGCGAATGACCTCGCCTACGCCGGCGTAGGCGGTTTTGCGGGCGATCGGCACCGGTGTCGGCCGATCGCATAGCAATAAGTAAGTCGACGGCTTTGGTTAAGTCGTCATCGGGGTCGGTGGGAACGTTACGCGGCCTTCTCCAGCGTGTATTAATGGGAACGGTGTAGTTGGCGGCCCGGGCCACCAGTGGGTTCGGTTGCGTCGCGGCTTTTTTAAAGAAACGTTCGGACGTTTCCTTGAAGTACCGACTGAGGGTCGGTAATTCGAGATCGGCGTGAAGATTTGCATTCTGTACGCACCAGATGGCTCCAGTGGCGGTTCGAGTGAACCGATTCTGAAGCACCTGGAGCCTGTGCAATGTACTAGGGGCGGCGTGAGCGAACGCAACGCTGGAGTAGGTAAGGATCGGACGAATACAAGTTTTGTAAAGCATAACTTTATGTCTGAGGGACAGTTTGCTACGCGCGCAGATCATGGGATAAAGCCTACTCATGACGTAGCAGGCTTTACGACATGTTAAATCCGGTGGGGATCGATTCCACGGCCCGTTGACTATTAGCCAGTGCTACAATCGGACCTTTATAGGTCTAAATACGTACAATTTCTCTGTATGCCTTGTCGTGTTTTGAAGTATGTATTTTTAAACAGTATTTGTTCAGTACGGAAAGCATGACTAAGTACACACAAACATAATTGACACAGCTGAACCTAGCTTGAACAATAGCTTTCAAATTGGAATCGATTTTAAAACATAATACGATCCGACAAACACTGCTGGAGATATTTAAAAATAGATATGATGTAATGTTTAACTATGCACGTTGTTTAACTGACTTGTTGGTCTAATGGTAGCAATGTATCACTAATATATAATGATTGGGTCGTGGGTTCAACCCCCACCTGTGGCATATTTATAATTTATATAATTTTCGGTCTCAGTCTGTGCATGTGATATCCAAAACTAATATAAGACGTCAGCGCATCTTAGTGAGATATTTCACTTTCCAACAAGTGGAACCCATCTATGTCTGTCCTCCTATAATAAAAAAAAACATATAATTTAGTAAACCTCCTTGTACTTTTGTTCTGTCGGTTTCGCAAACCAATGGTTCCGTATTTACCGATTTATTTTTTATGTCAATAAAAAAATACTTTGTTATCGAGGCAAAAGATAAAAATATACCTCGGATTTAAACCCTGGACCTCGTACCACCTAACTAGCGACGCAGTTGTATTGACTTTAAAATCTTCTATTTTTATAACGAATGGAAAATTTCAGTGTTACTATAACCGAGCAATTAGAAGGACATTCTTCATGTTATCGTCTAGAATAATCTATGTTTTTGGTCACGTGCACAAAGTAATGTGTTTAATTACGAACAGCTGTTTCAATGTTTTTAACAAATTTCACGATACATCTAGACATTAGGTAAGGTAATGTCCATGTTTTTAGACACAGACAGACAGACACATTCTCCAACCATCTATTCAAAGCGATTCTTGTATTAAACGAATTGAAACACGATTTCTTTCGTGTATGAATTAGTTTAAGTGGCAAACGTGCATGCGGATCAACTGATGAGATTTGTATTTCCGTCGCCCATGGACAAATACAACAACAGGAGTCCCGCAGATGCGGTGCCAGCCTATTAAAAAAGTAGTAATCTGTAAGTGAATTCTAGATTAGTCCATAATAATTTACCACTTCCATGGATCTATGGTTAAAACAGTTATCTTATTATGGTATATAATTATCTATGCTAGTATTATAAAGTTGAAGATTTTGTTTATTTGGACGCGCTAATCTCAGGAACTACTGATTCGAATTAAACAATTATTTTTGTGTTAGTTAAACACATTGATCGAAGAAAGCTTTAGATTAATACAAACAATAACAAAACATCATGCTACGACCAATTGGGGGCAAATAATAAGTTGGAATTTTGGAAAAAAATGTATAAATAACTTCATACACTTCTATAAATGATAAAAAAAATTCGCGACATAATATGTCTATGTTTTAAGATTAATTTGCAAAAACGACGGGACGCGATCGACGTCGTGGGTAACAGCTACGCCTAAATTATACCTAAAGATGAGAAGAGGTTTGAAAATTTTATTATTTTTTCACATGAAGACAATATAAAATTTAAAAATCGAAAAAAAAAAGAAAAAAATTGTTCGACTTGAGCAGGACTTGAACCGGCATCGTCAGCGTTCCGAGCTGTTGCTCTGAAAAAGCTTGGGATTTTTTTTTTCAATTTATTTTCAACGTTTGCAAAAACAAATTTCGATGCGCAAAATAAATATTCTATGCGGACGAAGTTGCTGACTCAGGTGATGTATGAGCGGTGACGGGGCCACGGTTCAATTCTAGGAAACTAATATACAATCTCCTCTTTAAAAAAAATGAGCCTCCCCTTACAAACATAATCCCGTAAATAGAGGCTTATCCACACAATATCTTTCAGTTATTTTTCGCTGCGCACTTGTTCAATAAATGTGTTTCAGTTATTGTCCAAGTTTATCAATGAACTCACTCTGTTTGTCCCAATTTCCTCGCCACCTTGAGGCTCTGCCATTTATTTTATCTCACTTGGCAACGGATAAGCGCCGAATTTATTAATGCATTTGTTCTATTACTTTTTTAGATATAATTTCAAAACTTTTGCATTCTTTGTGAAAGTATGCTGTGGTATTTATTACACAAGTTTTTCAGGTCATAAAAACAAAATTGATGTGTTTCGAACACTGAAATTATTATTAATAATAAAAATAAAGAGCCCGCCTCTGAAACCCAGTGGTTAAAGGTATTGCCTAACACGCAACGCTAATCCCAGGGGAACAAAAAATGTTACGGTCGGGCAGGGCACAGAAGTCTGATCCACTACTTGCCTGTTAAAGAACGGATCAGTTTTTTTTTATCGTCGGTTCTTTTGTTTGTAGCAGTTGGTTCATCTTAGTCGTAGGTTGGTAAAATGGATTATTATTTAATTACTGGGACTAATGTCCCCGCACTGATATTCTGTGACCCCATAAGTGGCCGAGCTAATAGAAGCGATATAATTTGGCATTTTTTCTATTAGGTACAACAATAACACATGGTGAAGTTGAGGCAACTAGAAAAACTTCTTCATAATATTTTTTTTATGATCTTAGATTTGAAGATGAAACCCGAGACGGTCTATAAACCTACAACACAAATGACCTCTAGAAGTAGAAATGAAATCATCTGTCCGGGTGCAGGTTCAATGCCCGGTCTAAATCGTAAACATATTAACCGCCTACGCACTATTGACGTCTGGGATTCTTTTCGTCTTAACATTTTTATCAATATCAAAATACGACTATTTATATAAAAGCGGAAAGCATTCAATACTGTAGTTTACGCGATTATATAAATAAAACACTTTAACCGTCGCGTTTTAAACCGGTAAAGTGTTTTGTTTAAACGGAAAATATCAGCTTCGTTGTATTGTTAATGAATCAATCAACGGAATTATAAATGTACTTCCTTTTATTTAATAATTATGATGATCCACTCTTTAAACAATTATTTAAAAAAATTAATACCTTTTTGAATGATATAGGATGATGCCTGGGGTTACTTGATGGTGGTGATATATGTCAGTCTATAGCATCTAAACTACGCTGTCGACCTATGTTGACTTTGGATATTCGAAATCCACAGATTCAAACCGAAACGCGATGAATCTTCACAGCTTTTTCATTTGTGGACAGTGGTTCGAGACCCACTCATTTAATATCCACATTACCAGACGAAGTCCAACATGCGACAGACAAAATATAAATTGAATAATTAGTAACATGTTGGACCCGGTGGGAAACGAACCCACGATGTGTTGAATATGAGCCAAACATTATTTCCTTTTAAATACCGATGTTTTGAATGATTTACAGCAGCCGCGGTTACCGATAAAAGTTTTTTTTATTAACTCTCGCAAAATACAATCGGTACTTAGTTGTAGATATGGTTATATTTAATTTTGATAAGGCGAACTTCCGTATGGATACCATTTTGTTATTGATGACGTCATTAAATGTTTAATGATTATATTATGTTGAACTAAGATATCTGAAGGAGAAATATATATGTTTCTACAGTCGACAATTGTATAACTTACGGTGATTAAATTTCTTTAACGGTTTAAAACGCGATATATATTTGTTAAATTTATTTGGAAATTATTGTAACTACGTCCTGAAGTTTTAGTAATAGATATCGCGTTTTAAACCGTTAAAGTGGTTTATTTAAATTACTACAGACAGTGCCTATTTAACTTACGGTAAATTCATATCATTGTCTTTCGGGCTGTTCGGCCGACGTGAGCGAGAAGAGGTTCTCGAAGTTTCGCCATCACATGCGGACGTTATCATCAGGAGATGTTAACTCCTCGATTGCTCGAAGAATTGAGACGATGCAGTTGGTCCACGGTCACCAATATTGGCCGGACATTTTTTACGAGGTTTAATCCAAGGTACCCAACAACAAAAGGATCCTAAGGGGGCAACAGTCCCGGCTTAGAACACTGCAATGTTGGTGGCTGCTTGATGCGGTCCAAGCGGCTCCCCTTCGGGGCACTCCTGGTCTATTATCTCATCATCAACGGCTTTCATGGCAGCGGTCGCTCCGTTTCTTCCTCTGTATACGGAACCCTAAAAATAGTGAAAAGGCATTGAGTTTTATAACCTCGTAGCCAGTCGGTAGATAATAAATTGTCTCTGCCGTTACGTATGCGACGATTAGGAAAATAAATATACAAATACCGGTTCAATCTGGTTAATTCAACCCAATTCGCTATCTCTTAACAGTGTAGGGAATTATGTGTTTTATTCACTCGGCATAAGGTCGAGTTGTCAACGGACGTGGAATTAATAAATTGATAAAATGAATGCAAAATAAGAGGCCGTTTTAGGGCTATCAGAGAAATAAATCGAAACAAAAACATCACAAGAAATATATATAATTATATATTCTAAATTATTCCCAATGCTGGGACTACAGATACCAAACTAACGGCCCTACTAACAAGTGGTCAACTGCGTATATTAAAAACAATGTTACGCTTGAATAGCACTAATCAAGATGAACAAAAAAAGAAAAATTTTGTATACGCAATAGCATCGAACTCCCGACCTCACGTATGTCGAGAATATACACATAAACTATTAATTAAATAACATTTTCACATCTGCCTACCCTAAGTATCTGAGCGGATGTATTGTCACAATTGTGAGTCTAGCTGCTAGCAGATGTGTGTGTGTGATTGGCTAGTGTATTCAAAAGCTGTCGCCGTGGATCAGTGGCGAATGCCTTATCGTGAGTTAATCATGTCTTCTAGCCAGGTATGACAGCTGACCTGTCAATATTATCAATATATGGGTTTTTGTGGTATCCGAGTTTGAATCGAACGTCAATCGTAAGTTTATTTTTTGAGCTGCATTTTTTGAAGTTGGCTTGTACGGTTTGTTTGTTAGACACTGCTGGTTCGAATAGAAATATTATTGTGTGAACCATCACACAACATTTATGGGGGAAGGCCTTAGGCTATAAAACATTAAACTACGACTAGTAGGATACTGTCTATACTTTACGTCCCCCGTACCACGGCTGCTGCAACATCCGAAACGTCGGACCGGAGTGTAAAAATCATTTTCAAATAAGTTTAACTAATATATGCTTTTAAACCGTTAAAGTGTTTTATTTAAATACGACTACAGAACAGAACGAAGTATAATAATCTTTGAGCGATTGCGTTGCGTGCGCTGCGAAACCGGTCAAGATACCAAAAAATATGTAAGAAATAATATTTCTCTTGAAAAATGATTTCGACGGTATATCATGTCTTATAAGATAAACTAGCAAGAACCACGGGACGCGGTCGACGTCGTGGGTAACAGCTTAAATTTATAGACTGGAACGGGAGGTTTGCAAGAAGAAATTTTGATGCCCGATATAACTATTCTACGCGGACGAAGTCGCGGCCACAGCTAGTGTTACAATTCAATAATTTTTCGGAATCAAAACGGAAAAAAATATTGGTTCTACGTGACGAGTTATAACAAATTGTTTTAACATTATGGAAAGTAGTAATTCTATTTTTGATTGAAACAATTTCGTGTCACGCGCAGAACATCGACTGTTTAATTACATTTTTGAACGTTGAATCACTTTTAAATAATTGTTGAAAACAAAGAGGTGTTTTTCTGTATTCAACGGCTGATTCACTGCGTAAAGGAATAATTAAATGAATTATTTCTGCTTTCGTATTGTGTTATATTTACAAAGAAACACTTAAAAAATAAATCTAGTAAAAAAAAAACTATGACACCCAGGCGGGACTTAAACCCTCGACCATAGAGTCTACTGTTGCTGCTGTATCAATTAAGTAACCAGCTTCTGGACGCGTCATCATCGATGTTGTTTAAACCATGTCCTATATACTCCTATCCTATATTCATTTAAATAATAAAAAAAGGAAAGAAAAATTAGGGACTCGAACCAGTGACCCATTGATTATCTATACTTACATTATATAGCTGAAGAGTTTGTTTGTATTTAAATAAAACACTTTAAGGTTTAGTATCGTGATAAATAGCCTGGAAATGATTTTTAACCGGGGGAAGAAAAAAAAAATTTCGAAAAAGTTAAAATATATCGCGTTTTAAACCGTTAAAGTGTTTTGTTTTTATGTTTACTAATTGCGTAAACTTAGTAGTATTTAGTTTGTTTGTATGTTTGACCGCGCTAATCTCAGGAACTACGGGTGATTTTTGTGTTGGTTAAAGCATTTATCGAGGAAGGCTATAAAACGTCACCGTTCAATGTAAGTCTTTCTATTCTAATTTAATCTAAGTTATCTTTACGTATAGACAGACGATTACAATAGTTTAATATAGATCATAAAATAGGAGTGCGCATGCGTCCATAAAGTTAAATAAAAATGAGATAATCGGTGCTTACCCAACACCGGGTTTCTATTTGTTGAGGGCAGACGCTATCTTAACACGTGACTTACTGTTCATACGAGTTCTGGTGACTGTCTGTGCTGATGTTTTAGGATAATACCAAGAAGGTCATCAGCAATTCTAGCGTAGGGACCCAGGGTGCCGAGTAAAAAGGGGCAACAGTCTACCACTATGGCTCCATTCCCTAACTCTAAAACTGACGTTCCGTACATGTAATTAGTACACTAGCAAACCCCCCCCCCCTCAGGTACTGGTGGCGGCTTAGTCTGACGTCCGAGAAGTGTGTTCGTTTTTAATAGTCAAAGCCAAATAGGTCGACAACGCAACTTCTTGAGATATTATTTCTGAGGTATTTCATCTCCCATCAAGGGAACGCCGTGTTAGTCTGCCCTGTAACTATGAAAATGTCCCGAAAATAACATACTCACCCTACCAAATCCAGTTTTGGGTCTTGTTTACTTCGCAAGTTGCTTGTTTGTTCGAACTTTCTCCGAAACACGCAAGCTCTTCTGATATCATCATTACTGGTTGATTTATCTGTTACTAAGCCAGACTATGTCCTATCATTTGTCGATTAAATGTTAAAAAAAAACGTAAACGACAAAATGTGTGCCTCGTGCCTAAACCCCAAGGAGGGGAAAAGGAAATACAAGATAGTAATAGACCAGAGTCTAATCAACAACCTTTATTTAATTACCACACTTTAACGGTTTAAAACGATAAATGTATTACTTAAACATATTTGAAACTACAGTATTTAACTGCTTGCCTGTAAATAAAAGAGATCATCGCACAAATTTTGACTGACTCCTTGGTGAAATGGTAGTTTTTGAATCACGTTGGATTTATCTGAAAATCTGGATACTAAATGGGTGTTTGGAATATCCAAATTCCGTCCGAGTCACGAACTACCGTCCACAGACCAAAAAGCCAAACAGATTTCAGTCTGTGGATTTCCGAATATCCAAAGGCAAAATAGGTCGATGCTATAGGCCGGGGTATTTAACCCACCATCAACTGAACCTCACACTTGTCTACCCTCCCTCATCATTAAAAAAATATAGAGAACTGTGCCCCATATAAGGGAAACAAGATTTCGCGTTTATAGGAGACCAGAGCCTTATATTTTCTCGTGACGTCACACGACACGAACCAATTTAACGCTACCACATTACCCTCATTCTTAATCTCGACTGGTCATTAATATTATTATAATCTATATAAGTAGTTTTCAAGAAACCAGTTTTAACTGGAACTGTTGTGACGTGGTGGGTCTCGTCGAAAAGAGAATAACCCTTTAAGCGACTTTTAAATCGTCTACTAATGTCTAGATGTTTGGAAATCTTTCACGCCAATTTGGTATTTGGCGAGGTAACAGATGGCGCTAGTGTAGCAGATTTGACTTTACATTAGGGACACCCTCTATCTTTAGTTCGTGACCACGGATGCAGCGAAGGGTCCGAAACGTCGGTGAGCAGTCAAAATAGGAAAGGAGAAACTTGGCTCGCTTGATTTTAATGATGTTGCAGAAAAGCATTTTCTTTAACTTACAGACTTAATCTAAATTCTTACTGTTTATTGATTAATAATAAAAAATCTTTATTGACAAACTTAGGGGGGACCTTGCATAAGTATAGATAAAATTTATTAGTATAAAATACACAATGTTTACCTAAGTATGTAGCAAAAATATAGATATTTTGAAACGCAGAATTATTAATGGAAGTAAAACAGATAAAAAAAGATTGCTATGATTTCTTTTTAAAATAAAATGTTTCTGGTGCTTTAAAGTTTTCAAGAGAGAGAAGAACCTTCATGTTTGTCCCTCTGCTGTTTGTAATCTTAACGACTTTAGGTATACGACCAGAACGTGATAAATGTTTGATAACGCGGAGACGTTAGCTTGTATTATTCTATTTGTCGAGTGATAAATAAATTTAGCAGCACTTAGCACGACAAACATAGCAACAGAAATCTTTATTGTTGATAGCAATTGTTTTTATTTCCAGCTGAATTATAATAATTTCAAATGTTGAACGAGGAAACGCCCGAGTGTCATCTTTATCGCTTTTAACGTACCAAAACTAATGATGCGTGATTCGTTTATATTCGGCTTAAAATTAACCGAATTGCCATATAAGACGTTGTTAAATTAAAAAAATTGATATAAATTATATTTTTAGTAAAACCGTTTAACGGTTTAAAACGCGAAACATCTTGGTTAAACTTACAAATTATCTTAACTACGGCCCGTTTCGTTTCGGATGCTTTTTAACAGCCATAGTCACGTGATATTGCTTAACAACGGAAGAACAAGTTAATATATTTTATAGTTAAAAAAATATTTATTATTCATATGTAAAAATCTTATACAATCAATGTGATGTAGTTATTGTATGTTAGATTTACATTTGAAAGCCGAATATCCGCAGAAGTTTACATTTAAACCAAATGTTAAGCAAGTTCGGTTTCGAAAAACTAAATTCGGTTCTATCTTTATATAGCAATTCTATATTTAGTCCACTTCAAGTGTAGATGTTAAGCGATGAATACGAATGAGTCTACAAGTGTTTACCTTAAGAAAATATACTGTAATTTATACTAAAAACCATATCAATACTTTATACTCTTCAAGGATATATTAAAAAAATATCGGTCTTCTTGTAAACATGTTTATGTGGAATCTTCAATCGGGAAGCACCCTTAACAAATGGAGATAAGGTGCAATTCGGCTTAAACGTTAGAAGCTACAAGGTCGTACAGTTTATTTTTATTCAAAACTAGCTACGGACTGTATCGTTGACGTTTGGTGTTAATTTTTATTTTTCAACCAACAAGGGCCCAATTGTACTATTTTATATTAAACTACATAAGAAATATAAAGAGCAAAGATAATCTATATCTATGTAAAACGAAAACGATACATATAAGCATCGCCTGTAGTTTACGTTTACAAATCCGAGTATAACGATTTGACAGTTTAAAACGTGAAATATATCAGTAATTAAAAAAATAAATGGACAAATATATTATTTCGCATTTTAAAGCCTTAAAAGTGTTCTGTTAGAATATTATTTGATTTTATACGCTATTCTTGTCGTATTCAAACCTAGGACTTAACGCGCTGAATGCAAAGATATATAAGAATAAATTTATTATAAATATAAAGCGGTGGAGAATAAACTTTTAAAATTCTTAGTGATTTATTAAATAAATCGCTGACAACGGTTAAAAACGCGAAATATATTCCTTATTTGAATTCGACAACGACGATTTTGGTGATGTACTAGATAAGGTAGGAATCTTTTATGTCAAGATCAAAAATGCTATGCTAGCGCCACCTGTTTGTACTGTTGGAAACAGAGCTAGATTTCTTAAAGAGAGACGAAAACATTTTTGTATTTTACTGACCGATTTTTTAAGGCTGACCAATAAACTATGAAATTGGTAGCTTAAAAGAAGAAATGACTTTATTTATTTTTAAACTCCAAGATATTTCCCAAACCGTGTGTTAACACTTCCCTCTTGCTCAACTTGAAGGACGCTGTAAATATGTCGCAAATGAGCAATTTATATGATGCTGGTGTCATGGCTGGCGTTTTACGGGCGCCAGGCGGACCGAAGACTCTTCATCTGCCATACCTCACACCCGCTTGCCGTTTTAAAATGATTGTTAATGAGTTTTATAAATACTATTTAGATACTGTCTATAGTTTACGCGAGTAGTACACATTTAAAACAATTTAACGGTTTAAAATGCGTTATATTTTCGTTAAACTTGTTTGAACGTTATTTTTTACTACGGCCCGACGTTTCGGATGCTTTGCAGCAACCGTCTCCCCGTGATCACCCGTCAAAAACATCTCTGGACGGTCGTTCGTAAGCAGGACAGAATTTCGATATTCCTGTCACTCATATAATATCCAGATTTCCAGACGTCCAACATGTTGAGATATTTTAAATTGATTTGAAACACGTTGTACCCGGTGGGTAACAAACCCACGACCCGTTGATTATTAGACATATTATTTTGTTCTAGGAGACCAAGAAGTAAAAAAAAATGCTGTTTGATTTAACTACGACCCGACGTTTCGGACGCGTTTTATTATTTTTACAAACGTCCGGTAGTTTAAAATTCATCGATTAATATATTTCACGTTTGAAACCGTGAAATGTGTTTTATTAACAACATTCTGTAAACTATAAAAAACGTTAAGTTAACCACAGATACAAATCTGTTTTAATAATATTATAAAAGAACAACATGTAACGCAAAATAACGATGACGTAACGCCAATCCTCGAAAGAGCGATGTTTCCAAAATAAAATATAATGAACCGGTTGTTTTGCGACGCCGAGTGTGCTACGAGAGTTTGATAACACACAGACACGCAATAATTATATTTACTCCTCGTGCTGATAACTATACAATTCCTACTTTCGACCCATTAATACCTAGGTCCCAGTTGTGGGAACTGATATGAAGAATTCACAGAGTTACAAGCAATAGATTTACTACTATTATATTACTATTTAAGTATTATCTGTAGACGCGAGTAGTGCACATTTAAATAAAACACTTTTAACGGTTTAAAACTCGAAATGTATTAATCGAATTATTTGTAATAACTAAGATTACGATTATTATTTTACTAACGAATAAACTAAGAAATTTACTATTTTTTTTTTTAATACAGAAAAAATATTAAGTCTCTTCTAGACAACCTATAGTAAATGTACTTAACTAAGTAAACTAATACACATCGCGGTTTTTTTTCGTTTAAAGTGATTTATTTAAAATTCAAGAGATTTACTTCTCCGGATATACACGGCCTAACGACGTAGAAGTAACATAAAGGTGCCACCACCATATAATGTTTGTTCTTTTTACCTAAAAAGTCCTGCGCAAAGTTTAGTACTGGAAATTATAGACGTATTTAGGACAAAAATATCAGAAAACTGAACCATATTGGACTGTAAATTAATGATTACTTAAAACAAGAGGTCACGCTTCCTAAATATAACATTAATTGGGATAAGAAATAGTTTATTATTAAATATTCGTTACAAAAACATGAGATAGTGTGTGATACTAAAACAGGTAATTATAATATTAAACAAAAAATATTTATGTTTTAAATTTAAGATACGAAACTAAATAGCAATAATATTCTATACTAAAGTAGTCGCTTGATAGCGAGTTTGAATCCGT